TCTCTCGGAAGAAATCTGATCGATCGTCGGCGAAAGGTTCAATCGCAAGCTCTTTAATGGTCATTCGAAGGTAGCCTGTTTCCACTTAAGGAGTCATTCCTCCTTGGAAAAACACGGTGAAAAGGAAGTTCCAAGAACTCACGTCGAGAGTTCACCCTCGATCGACTCGGATCAATCGAGAATAACAACGATCGTAATAGCCCTGGCTATTAATCTAATCAGAAACGAAAACGTAATCGAATACGATATCGTAATATATCGAAATCACAGTAAAGCGATATTGATATCGTAAAATTATGATATCATGTAAGATCAACGATCTTGTTTAAGTCATATTTTTCTTTCGACCTAAGAATGCGTATATCGCGCGTATTAATACTTTACCGCTGAGTCATCCCAATTTTTTTTATTTCGAACGAAAAAAATAACAGGCTTAAGAGTGCGCCTCAAAGAGTCACAGGTTACTTTGAAGTTACTTGTCAAAATATTTTATTCCTTCGAAAATTACACCACTCTACTTAACGTAAAAAAAACGTAAATACGCGCGCGCGCGCGTGTCTGTCTGTCTGTGTGTGTGTGTGTGTGAGAGAGAGAGAGAGAGAGAGAAGAATTTACAGCACTTTCAATGTCCTAAAAAGGAAATGTATAAATCCCTTGGAGAAACTCCTCCACATTTCTTCGCTAACAACCGCTAATCACGCGATAAAGAGATCTGATCTCAAGATTTTAAAACGCCGCGCAAATTATTCCGATAAGATAGGAATGTGCTAGCGGCGAGACAGATGGAATTTGTACCTCGACGGCAAGATCAATCGATTCTGGATATCGTGATACCCGCGAAATCCCAGGAGTTATATTCACGAAAAATATCGCAAAAATAGATTTATATGAAAAAATATTATGTAAAATATTATATACTCCGTTATGGACTTTCTACAAATAAGCCATCTCAGCTTAAATCTGAAATCGTAAGAAACTGACCAATCACGGTCGAATGTGAGAAGAATAATTTTATTTAAAGTTTAGATAATGGCTTATTGTAGAAGACTCATTAGACATCAAAGAAGCAAATAATCTGATCTTTTGAGTTAAATAATATTTTGTTATTTTTAACTACGTTGTGTGCCAGAATATAAATAAATTCATTTCTATAGTTAATTTAAAAGTAAACAATATTCATATATATTAACGTACTTGGTAAGTAATAAACTAAATTTCAATCAAATTCGCTATATTTTCTTCAATTAAATTCAACTCTATTTTAAATAAATTAATAATTTTTTAAATAATGTATTCAATGTAAGAAAACAAATTAATTAAATTGGGTATAATTTGACACCACAATTTAACAGCGAATTTAAGAGTTACGTGTGTCGTAGGTTTCTTTATTCCCGTATGCGATTTTTTTTTTTTTTCGAAAACTAAAGCTCCAGGGCGGGTACTGGTAGAAAAACCAGTCTAGTTACTGGCCTTTCGTTTTCTCGTCCACTTCCAGCGGGTCGCGAAGTCGCGCGAGACAACTTTTTTCCGCCCGGTGGCTTTTCCCGTCGGCCGGGAAGCGGGAAGTGGCGGGAAAGAGTGATTTACACGGGGCGACTTTTATTCGCTGGAAGAACGACGCGACGACGACAGCGGACGCCCTTTCGTCGTGTTCTCCATCTGCCGCGCGACGTAACCACGTGACGCCCGCATAGAATGCACAAGCGCCTGCTGTGAAGAGGGAAGGGGTTGGGGAAGCGTCGCGGCTTTCGGCGCCCTCGATGACTCCATGCGTAAAGAAATGTGTAACATTTCCGCCTCGCGGTGCGCCGAACGTTTAAGCGTCTGGTTTTTAAGCCTTGCGCCTGTATGTGTTTCGCGAAGCAAGAAATCGCCTTGGATGGAGGAAGAATTAATAATCGTATTTGAACACAATGATAATTTAGAAATAAGAAACGTCGTGTAAAATATCAAGTAACAATAAGTAAGAGAAGCGCCACTTACGTTCCAGGTTGGAATAATACATATATTTAAATCAATTGAATTGAACCAAAAGAATCCTTATAACGAAAAACAACGAATTCCTATTTATTCATTATTCAATAAATTTATCTCAGATATAATTGCGCGCCGATTACTTTAGCGCAATCGACTGATCAGTTCATTCGCCCTCCGAGATCTCGGAGCGATTTCTAGCATCGTGAACGTAAAGTCTGGGAAATGATGCGATATAAAGGGTAAACGTAGCCTATTTAACGTCAACCGGCGTGAGACGGAAATCTTCATTCGCGACGATGGCGAGTCCGAGGCGGAGATTGGGCGACGGGTAAACCGGTCTGGATCCTTTGATGTAACGTTAGACGGGCGAGCCGAAAGACTCGTGACACACGTTCGTTCAGCCACCGCGATGAGCGGGATGAGCCCTTCTCGCAGGGAGGATTGAAGGAGTTTCTTCGTTTGCCGCGTATCGGTCGAGCTGCGGCGGCGTACATACTTATATATGTACACGCACGTACTCTACGTGTGCAACCGCGTTCGTTGCTCGCTCGTTCACGGCTCCGGTCCCTGGCGATCACGCGTCGGCGAACGCGCGAGGGAGCCTCGCTCCGCGAGCAACAGAAACGATCCAGGCTGAACGTACGCGAGAGTCGGCGAGATCCCGGCATATCGAGATATTCGAGATTACAGACGCCAACATGACGCGAAGTAAAAACAAAGTCTATACAGGAGAAAGAGCGAGAGAGAGAGAGAGAGAGAGAGAGAGAGAGAGAAAAGGGTTGAGGAATGGTCAACGGTCATGACGCGGATTATTTCGCGCTCTAGCCAACCACTGGTACGTCGAATGGTCAATTTCACGGTCGCAGCGTCCCGCTGGGGACGATAGGAGGAAAGGATGAGGGATTAGCCTGCGGTTTCCCTGCAGGAATAAACGAAAACCAGTTGGCTGCTCCACGCCCATAGCGCGCACGGGATAACCGCCTCCTTTTTCCTCCATTCTTCCTCTCCCTCCCTTTCAATAGTTTCAACGTACCGTTCCGATCGGTCTGTCTCGCTCGCACGGTGATCCTCGATCGCGCATGGCACACTCACCTTGATGATCAGCTCGATCTCGGGTACGTCGCCGTTACTGGTGCCGTTCTCGTGATTGTCGTCCGCCATCCTGACGGGGAACTTCGTACGCGGTGAAGAAGAAAGAAGGCACTTTTGTCCTTTGGCGTTTCTCGGCGGCTACCTCTTTCTTCCTTTCTCCCTCTCGCTCTCTCTCTCTTCCTCTTTCTTGCGTGACTCGACACAAAACCGAACGAAACTAAAGAACGAACAGAGCACGACGCAAGTCCGCTGAATACTGACTGAATTGGTGCAACGCGTCACAACCGTCACGACTCACCTCACGCGTGCCGCGCCACGTTCGCGCCGATGGCGCCGCCTGCGGCGCGCCCGCCGAATCACGTGACGCTTCTTTGCGCGCGCGCACGAGAAACGCGCCTAATTTGAAAATGGTTTGATGATGTAACATTTACTGTATTCTGTAACTCGTTATGTATAATGAATTGCAGAATACAGTACCCTGAACTCTTAACAACAGTAATGACATCATCACATTATCGTTACGCAGGTTTCATATATAATAAAAAAAGCTGTACAAGGACAATATAACGATTACTGTTTAAGAGTTAAAAAATAGAGACCCAGATGAATCAATTTCAAAGTAGTAACAACATTTGAGACGAATCAGAAATTGGTCCTAAATTTTATAAGGTAATATAAAGCTGATATTAGAAATTTGCCTTAAATTACATTCAACTGTCATTGTATATAATACTGCATTTGGTCTTTTTACATTATGGTTTGATGCGTTTTACTTGAATTCTTTACAAAAATTTCCCGGCATATCGAGATACCTCATTTTGCGATTCTTTTAAAAAATTCTCCTCGATAACTGAATAGCAATGTGAATTTTTAAGAGCGTAGTCCGTGCCATCTTCCATTACATTTTCTTTAAAAATATATTTTTTTATATATTTCATTAATGTTTTGAGATATTTAACTCACATTATATTTCCTTACCGTTATTATCTGCACCTCGATATAACAAATTTGACAAATTTGATGAACAAAATTATGTAGAAAATAAGAAAGACAACCTTAGGAATTCCATCGTATGCAATTTTAAAGGAAGTGAAAGTGAAATTTGGAGGAAATTTGGATGATCAAAAACAAATTAATTTTTAAAAGTTGGGACCATGATTGGAATGATAGCTATTTTGTTTATGACATTTCAGTCATGAAAGCATCGGGGATAGTATTATGTGATATTATCGACGAGACAATTGCACAACTTCAGATTATTTCGAGATTTAATATACAGAGTATAAGGAAGACGTATTGGATGTTCAACATTTCAGTTGAAATAATCCATATGCTATATTCTTAACTATAATTCTTAAACAATATAGCAACAATAATATTTCATATGTACATAATTACTTATCCTCTTTATATAGCAATAAACGTGAACTTGTTTTACGTTTGGTCGGATCGTAGAGATTACCGTAAACTCTACAGCCAGAAGTTCTTATGCTCTCTTACAATTAAACTTTTTCTCTTTTCGCTTATGTTCGCGCGTCAAAAGAAAGGTATGTACGACGGACCAAAGAAAGAGGATATGCTGAGTGTATGAGTTCAATCGACAGACTATGAAAGCTATGCGTTCATTATTAGTGATTTCTAATCGCTACAACGGTTAGTGCTCTGCTTTTTTTTGTTTCTTTTTTCCTAATAGCTTATTTTCCAACAGACGATTGAACAATGTGACGAATTTATACTAGGCCGAGTGTAAAATATACAATATATTATCAACTCTTCTTACAAGGTAACACAAAACTAAGAGAG